GTCGGGACACCGCGTATTGCTCACGTATAGACGAGACAGTGTGAGTCAAGCGTTTTCTTAGTGTGTGTCACACGTATTTTAGGACGGCATTTCTGTCCAGACGTCTTATAATGCTATTTCTCTCGTTCTTACGTTTGCGATAGAGGATGGAAGATCGCCGCGACTCCCACCACTATTCCCTCTCCAAGCGTCCGACGATCGTATACCGCTAGCTCCCTCCGCCACTCCGTGCTGCTCCTGGCTCACCTACACGCAGCAGTGTATGAGTGATGCGTTATCGTGTGCGAGTCACACGGATATTCGGACGGCATTAACGCCGGTGCGTGTACATACACATATGTATATATAACATATGTATATATACTCAAGAATCATTTATCACTCCATTTAAACATTACCCAGTAGTCTCAATTTACTTTCAAGAAAAAGTCTTTGTGTTTATATGTATACATAATTTCTAAAAAATTATTTAAGAAATCGGCCTCGACAGATTTTTTGCAAATTTCAAGACGATCATTTAAATAAAAAGCGTCAAAATCGGTTGAAATCCAAGCACTCTAGATCTTTTTGAAACAACACCGAATGGCCCCACTGTACGTTGTTAGATTTCTTTCTCTAGGGCTTTATAAAAGTTCAAGAGATGTCAATTGCACCTACAACAACTGAAGACATGAAAGACAGAATTCACCGAGCTTACACTGAAATAACACCAGAAATGTTAGCCCGTGTCCGAGAGTGTTTTAGTAGAAAAATTTCTAAACGTATTTTAGTAGATCATCACTTTGAACATCTAGAATGGGAGCGTCCCGATTGACCACAGTACGATTGGACACAACCAACCGATGAAAAGAATTATCTAGTGAATTACTAGGTCGAACCAATCATTACAATCTGTGTCCAATCGTATCGTGGTCAATCGGGTCCCACCTATATAGAATAATTTTTTTTCTCTTGCTCACATGCACACACATGCGCACGTACATGCACGTACGCACGCATTCAAACACGCACACAGTAGAGAAGGTTTGGAGTCAATATTACAGAAGTAAAGTCAACATTACAGAAGGTCACATACACTTTTCATAACAGTAACCGTAAGACGAAACGTAAGAATTAATCAATCATGTTGAGAATCGTCGAATCGTAAGATCGCCATTTTTATAAATACTCGATCGCAATTGGTCAATTCTTACACTGTTAAATATTGGAGGGTCAAATTTAAACCAATTTCTTGAGTTAAATAATATTTAGTTATTTTTAACTATCATGTGTGTCAAAATTTATTATTTTAACACAAAACATGTGTTTAAAAAAACAACCACATCTAATCAACCCATTTAAAACAATATTAAGTCATTTTTTACTAAAACAAAGGTTATATTAATGTGCAAATAATAAAAAATAAACTAAATTTTAGTCAAATTTAATACATTTCTTAAGTTAAATTATTTAACTCCATTACATTAGTCAAATCAACGACATATTTAGTAGGAGCAGTGGCGACTTATAGGAATGGTTAAAAATAATTCAAATTGAGTATAATTTGACACTACGGATTTAACAGTGTACGTTACATATTATGGTTACTGTTACGAAAAGTGTGAGTGGCCAGCTTAACAAACCTCAAATCAAGGCAAAGATAGGGACCGTAGGATCCCTATCTTTGCTTTGATACACATATACACGCACACGCACGCACACACACACACACACACACCACACAAAAAAGATATAAATCCGATTGAGCAACCTCCGCGTGGTACATCTTAGGTAATGTTAATACGGTATATTTTGGATAATGCTAAAGCGGTATTATAACTTTCAAGCTTTATAACTCTAAAAGTACTTAATAAAAAAATACTTAATTATAGTGTTTTGGAAAGTTCTCAGGATAAGAATATATTATGAAAAATAGGAGGTTCCATTTAAGAAATTGAAGTGCCCTTCAAGCGGCTATTCAAAGTCAAACCAATAACACCATTTTATGTCCTTCTCGAAGTCACAAAATTTTTCCAGGAAATATTTGTAACGATGCATATCGTTACGTAATAATAGTAACGCAGAACAACGCGAA